TAGATGAAAATAATATTTTATTGGATGTTGTGGGTGAGTTTTAGGGATGGAAATGGAGGAAATAGTACTTTTTGAGATTTTCACCTTTTCCATTTCCATTTCTTGGTTTTTCTTGGTTTTTAGGAAATAACCAAACAGGCCCTAAAACACGGACCTGTAAGGTAAACAATTTATTAAGTACCAACTCAATAAATTTTTTTATAATTTAGCTTAGAAACTTACGTAATCTCTCTCGTTCATCCCACTAGGGATGTAACTATCTGTTGGTGGGCGTGGCATGTGTCCAGCTGACGGTTGTGGGTCACGCGCGATCTATCTACGTGTGATACCCCAATACCAACACATATACGCAGTTTAGTCAACAGCTGTGGGCCTCGTATCCTGTATGAAATCTCACATGTGAACCCACCTGTCTATGTAGGCCGCACGGACTACGGCCCAGTCAGTACGGTGCGATGTAGGGCGCCGCCGACGATCGATTTGCTCGACAGGATCTAGAATATGCTGAGAGAGCGTAAACTGTCGTAGCACACGGTCCGGGACATGCATCTCCACGATCTCCCAACATATCAATGAAACTCTGGCTCTCCACAAGTCGGGACTATCTCGACAGATAGGTGCAAGAGAATGTATATCGAGCTCCGGCGGTGTATAGGGTCTCCACTTGAACTGAAATAAAATAAAACATTTATCAGTATCATACAGAAAAACTATAATATTCATAATTCTTGAGTTTTATATTTACTTGTTCGTGTTGGAGGCCATCAAGCTCATTTCGGTAAAACTGACGGTGACGCGTCGCTGATCTGTACTAAGCGTATCGCACGTTATACCTATATGCAGAATAGCGAATATATAATTACAAATTCAATATTGAGCGTATTAAGCTCATTTTGTAGACAGTCCCCGGATTTTCTCTTTTGAGTGCTTCAAGATAATGCGGTAAGATCTTATACGATTTATCTCAATCCCCGAATATTTTTATCATCGCCTTCCTCCTAGCATTCCAACACTTGTGATATGATACATCCAAGTTGGTGGCTTTATGCATTAAAAGCCGGATATCTTTCGGCCTTAGATCAAGATCCTCCCTCAGATGCCGTAAAATCAATCGATATATAAAAGAAGATGACACATTCTTGTTATTCATCTCTAATCGAGGATTGCTACAAGTGTGGAGTCTATTGTATGTCGTGATTTTGAATTGCCCGCCTACTCTTACACCCGAGCGTGAATTAAGCTTCCACGGACACCTCGCATTACCGTCGTGGTGTCCACTATTATCTTCGACATCATCATCTTTGCTATAGAAACAAACCACATTATGGCTTGTAGTATTATTTTTGGTTGTCCTGAACTTCACATTTTTTTGCAATGGAATACGTGCGAATAGCATGGATCAATTTCTCCTTACTCTCGTAAAGATCTCCCTTCATGAATGAGAAGTCCTCGGCCTGTGTATCAACACCGCTATTAGTGCCAATAGGAACACTTTCCATCACGGAGTTATTAATCCATTCATCTCCTTGAAGTTCATCGGATGACGGATCCTCTAAGACGACATACTCATTATTAACATAACATCCGTCGATATGTTGGTTTTCCCCGTCATCGCGATCTATCAAGGTCATGCTATTAATTTGTAATACATCATCTTCATCATCATTCTCGGATTCGACACTTACATTATCTTCTTGAATTCCCGTGTTAGTATCAAAAGTATTCGAAGTGCCCACGAACGAAGGACTGCTCATGTATTGTGATTGTGTCCAACATTCATCTTGTTGAGGAGATAAAAAGCCTACGGAATCAACTTCAGGGTCCTCCAACATGCGAGAATACATTCCTTCGTAATTCAACGATTTGCCCAAATCCGTCTGATGTTTTTCAATGAACAATTCGACCGAACGCTTCTCGTCGTGTAAGACATGAATGAGACCCATATCATAGTCACTTGATATTTGAATGCCACTTGTTCTGTTCCCCACAACAGGATAATTGCAAATCACACTGAGGTGATACTCACGTGAGTTGGTTAATGTAAGTTTGTGTAATTCATTAACCAACTCATCGAAAGTATACGATTTTATTATGAACAACGGTCTCGTCGCGCCTCCTTCATAAACGGGCATATTATTTTCGAGGTAATTAATCTTCTCATCATAAGAACAGAGAATTACAATTCGATCATTCATCGTTACCTCTGAAGAGTGAAAAATTCAATATCAATATTACACGAAAAGCCAAATAAATATTGATTGTTACTAATTTTTACATTTAGGTAGTAACTCTAATTTCCACATTAATTGATAATTTCACCTCTAAATACACAAAATTATTTAATTTTTCTTCACAAAATTCGTAAATAATTCACAATTAAATTCTAAAATCTAATTTATGTCATACATATGTAGTAACACTAATTTTCTCATTTATTGATAATTTCCCTTCTAATTTCACAAAATTATTGATAATTTCCACACTAATTCTTCACAAATTTCACAAAATTATTGATAATTTCCCCTCTAATTTTCACATTTATTGATAATTTCCCCTCTAATTTTCACATTTCTTCACAAAATTCGTAAATAATTCACAATTAAATTATAAAATCTAGATTTTTACATGAAATCACAATAAAATAGTGAGAGTATACAAAAATTAGAGAGTATAAATTTTTTTAGGAAGAATTTACCTGTTTTTTCCTCTGAGACTGAGATCTGACGCCGTCGAATGGAAGGGAGGAGGAGGGCGGGCGGCGGGCGGCGGTCGGGAGTTTGGGCGGCGGGGACGCTCGGGCGCTGGGCGGCGGCGATTGGGAATGAGGGATGTAGGATAGGGTTTGTCGGGCTGGGTCATGCGCGCATTATATAGGCACGCCAAACTCCACGGGAGTTCAACTCCGTGGAGTTGCAGGCGACATTTCCCAGAGAGCGCTTTCTGGCAAATGCGGCTTGTAACTCCACGGAAGTTGAACTCCCGTGGAGTTTCATATGTCCATAAATCTTCACGAGAGTTGAACTCCCGTGAAGATTTATGAAGAAATAAAACTTCACGGGAGTTCAACTCCAGTGAAGTTTTAAAATACAATAAATTTCACGGGAGTTGAACTCCCGTGAAGTTTCGAAAAATTTTTAACAAAAAACAACCTGTTTTCAGCGCTGGGCTGAAAACATGTCGGTTTTTGTAAATTTTTTCAAAAGATGTCGTTTTTTGCAAATAAAAACCCAAAAGGGTCTGTTTTGAAAATTTGTCCATGATGTTTTTCTATATATTCTGCCCTAATCATAAATCTCTCGTTTTCTTTTTTTTCCCTACTGTCCTCTTGAGATCAGGCCCAGACCCGCAGGTTTCAAAGTCTTTTTTTAGAAAAAAATAGCCAAAATCACTAGTAAAAAATCACGTATCCTAGACGGATTATTCTAGACGGAAATTTTTCCGTCTAGTTTGTATTAAACTAGACGGAAAATTTCCGTCTGGAATATTCCGTCTAGAATAAAACATTCTAGACGAAAATTTCCGTCTATAATAGTAAAGTAGACGGTTTTTTATTTTAATTTTTTTTTAAAATTAACCAACTATCCTAGACGGAAATTTCCGTCTAGAATGTATCCTAGACGGAAATTTCCGTTTAGGATACTGTAGGCTGTCTAAAAATCACAATAAATAGCTTATCCCCTATCAAACACCGATGATGGAAGTTACAATCTGACGACTTCCAGAAGACTGCAATTTGAAGCTTTCATGTAGATCGCTGAAGGTTACAATCTGACGACCTTCACGACAGCCGATGAGAGCTCTAGTTCAACAGCATTAAGAGATTACTTGTTGATAATCTCTTCAAGGCAAGACGCGGAGGTCCTCCCCGTATATCAACACCAAGACACGGTGATCCTCCCCGTGTGTCAACAATAAAACGTCAGGGTCGAAACCCGCGTCACAACATCAAAACGCCAGGGTCGAAACCCGCGTTACAATATCTAAACGCCAGGGTCGAAACCCGCGTTACAATATCAAAACGCCAGGGTCGAAACCCGCGTTACAATGTCAAAACGCCATGGTCGAAACCCGCGTTACAATGTCAAAACGCCAAGGTCGGAACCCACGTTACAATGTCAAAACGCCATGGTCGAAACCCGCGTTACAACATCAAAACGCCAGGGTCGAACCCCGCGTTACAACATCAAAACGCCAGGGTCGAACCAGCGTTACAATGTCAAAACGCCAGGGTCGAACCCGCGTTACAACAAGCCAAAACGCGAGTGACCCTCGCGTTCATTGATGTTCAGCCAACACCCAACCTCGCGTCTCAATTCTAAGAGGCGAAGTTAGGGTCCTGAACGCCAACGTGGGTGTTTGACTCATTCAACATGAGCTGAACGGTTCTAAAACCGTTTCCCACGATTTGGGGGCGGTTACACCCCATTATGGAGAGAATTAAGGGGGCGGTTACACCCCTTAATTCCCTATAAATATGGGTAAACTCAACTGAGTTCGGGCCTGGTTTTTTGGTTGCCTGGGATTTTTCGGATCTGAGACTTGGCAGCAAGGAGGCAGGCTTTTGAGGAGATTGGCATCATCTTCCAACGAAGATCATCTTCAACTTCAGCAATAGGGAGCTTCTGTCCTTGGCTTATAACCGATTTTCGGTTCAAATCTACTCTTGTTCAAGAGTTCAAACTCGTTCAGAGTTATCAACTCGATCAGAGTTCAAAACTTGCTCGCCAAGTTCTTCTAAACTCGTTCAGAGTTCTAAAACTTGCCACGCAAGTTCTCCACAACGTCAAATCGTGAGGAGAAGACATCGTTCCAGTGAATCAAGACGTGCGGATCGTCAACGGAGAGCAAACTCGACGCGAGCACTCGAGGGAGGCACTCCATCGCCACCGTGAAGAACCCAGTTTTAAACAAAGGGGAAGAACCAATTTCGTTCTCCTCTCTTTTGTAATCGAATTGTAATCGGAATCAAAGAAATACAAAGTCAAATTTTCTTTATTCTCTTCTTTGCAATTTTCCTACAAACAGATACGTTATCCATTTTTAAAAAAATTTAACCCACCAAAATTTTGCCGCCCCTTTTTCCCCCAAAATTTCGTCGCTCATCTTTCCCCCAAATCCTCATCCTCTCAGGTCCTCTTCTGATCGCGGGGCAAGGTATTGACGAAATGTATATCAAATCATCTTTTTATGTGATTTGTTTTATGGATTAGAGTTGTTTGGTTTGATTTGGTTTGGAATTGGTTGTTTTTAACCCCAAGTTGAAGTCAGGAGTCTGAGGCTCCTCAACCCCTCCCGTCAAAATCTCACCTCTCAATGTAATTCTCTTTCCTCTCAATCTTATTCACTTTCTAAAATTGAATTTTGTGACGATTTTTTGATCAATTTTTCTTTTTTTTTCTTTTTTGTTTGATTTGTTAGGATTAAGCTCTGGCAGTGGTGGCAGTTATTCAGTGTGTATGAGGCGCGTTGAGATTAGAGAACTGAACAGAATCGAGAAACCCTATTTTGACGGTCAGTTGATTTCTTTCCTTCGTTTTCTTGTCTGGAACGTGTTTGATGAAATGTGTGGCCCAAGATTAAGGCTGAAAACTGATTAGGAAATCGCTTTACGCTGATTGTTTGTTGAAAGAAGGCTATAGGGGGGAATAACAGTGCATATTTTAATTTATTTTCAAAGGCATTGCTGATCAGTAGGAGTAGAATGGAATCATGAATCTTCAAATTGAAATAACAAGGACAATTTTTTCATCTTGTTCATTTGATGATGCTTGAAAGAAGAAGCATAGAAAAAAATTTGGCGATTGAGGCTACAATTTCTCTAATCTCATCTATTTCCCCACTTTTAACACTTGAAACTAGGAAAAGAGTTTCAGATTCATGTTTTAGCTATCGCCACATTCTTAAGCAAGATAGTTGTTTCTACTTGGATGGCTAGCGTAGACATTTATTATGATCTGCACTCTATATATAAACAAGAATGTTGTCTGCCTTTGGAACTTCTACCAGATATATGAAATGGTTGAAATAATAGAACTCTTTCAGAGTATAATGGAGGAAGCGGACAAGATAAAGAACATGGTGTGATATTAAATCATAATCCTATTTTTTGCTTGACTTTATGCATCTGTTATGTGCACTTTTTAGAATTCGGTATGCGTCGGCATACAGTATTGTAATCATCTTGACATCCATGCCGTGTCCATACGACAAAGCTAGTAGTTCGATGACAAAAAATGTTAATAAGAACGGTTGAATGAGGGTTTTTGTCATGCTGTGTCCATACTTTGATTATACTTGCCACCTCAGAAAGTGCCACACGTTCCTGAACCTAGTCCTGCTCCAACTGAAACGGTGGATCATGAGGATAGGACAATATTCAGATGTTTATCTTGCTTCAGCTTTTTCATTCCAACAGGTATATATATGTCCCCTTGATTTTGTTATCTTAGTGCTTCAAACATAAGGGTATACTTCACACTTAATAGATAGACTCTTTTCATATGACTTGACTGCCAATTCTCGTACATGAATGGGCTTATATGGAAACTATTGTGCATTCTGTTTAAAAAAAATCTGTTATGTTGAATCCCTTTGGGAGAAAGAGACAAATAACCTTAAAAAAGACTAATTATGTTATGTACGAAATCATAGATGTTATAACTAGTAGACAGCTTTATTGTTGTCCACACCCTTCCAGTTCTGCTGTTACTCGTCTTTCTCACTGAAATTGTAAAGTGGTATTCATGCTTTTCATTTATGCTTCTAGCTTTTCCTTTGCAAAATGTCAAATGAGTTTTTCTGAGCATCAGTACATCAGAATACTTGTACATCATTTCACTTCATATCATGTTTATTTTTCCTATGGATAAGTATATGATGATGGAGGTTTTGTCTGTGCACTTGTGTTTGTGAGTTGCATGTATTTCTCTCTTAAAGAATCTCTAGAAATAAGTATTTAACAAACTGATTTTCCTTTTTTCTTCTCTACGAAGGTTTAACACCACTACCTATTTTGTTTAGGTCCATCAACCGGAGAATTCAATTTTAGTGGTGGATTAATGGGAAATCACGCTCAAGAAGGCAAGCAAAATTATCCAGCAACTATATTGGAAAGTATGCAAGGTATTATATTATGAATTTTTCGCTTAGTTTGATTAGCCATATTGAGCGTTTATTTCAATTGGACATTCCATTCACAAGCTTTTGATATTTATAGAGGTTGATACACAGAAGTGTCCTTGTAAGATTGTTATACAGAGGTTGATACACAGAATGATTATAGCCAATGATGAAGAAGGTGAAGAAGGAGAAGAAGAGGCTTGAGTAAATGTATAGGGAAGGAGTTGAAGAAGCTTTTGCAGTGTCATACCCATTGTAAATAATTTATGTAAAAGTTTGTAAACAATTTATGTATCTCTCTACTATTTTGGTGAATGTATTATTTGAATATAATTGGATTTGATATTGGAATATAATTAACTATTGTGTTGGATATGAATATAATTTTTTGTTATTCAATATTGTGTACATGCACTCAAAGTAGATTCTGTAAAAAAAAAAAACTACTGTAGCATAGCATCCTAGATGGAAATTCCGTCTAGGATGCTCAAATTCCGTCTAGGATACTTGTTTTTTTGCAAAAAAAAAATTAAAAAAACATCCTAGACGGAAATTCCGTCTAGGATTACTACTCTAGACGGAAATTTTTTCCGTCTAGGATGTAGTATTCTAGACGGAAATTTCGTCTAGAATAATCCGTCTAGGATGTATTCTAGACGGTTTTGAATTCCGTCTAGAATAATCCGTCTAGAATGTATTCTAGACGGAATTTCCGTCTAGAATACTACATCCTAGGCAGAAACATACTAGACGCGTATTCTAGACGGAATTCCGTCTAAGATACGCATTCTAGACGGAATTCTAGGTATCCTAGACGGAATTTTCCGTCTAGTATGCCTCATTATTTAGTAGTGAATTTATGCCTGTTTTGTTGTTGTTGTTTTCCTATAATTTTAGAAAAAATATTTTTATCTAAGATTTTAAGATTTTTAGGAAGATGGTTTCTTCCTTGAAACCCATGAAAGTCAGGATATGCTTTTGTGGTTTGAGAGCCATTATCCAGGTTTCTAACACTGCAAGTAACCTAGGGAGGTAATTTCTAGGCTGCCCTAATTGGAGGACTAAAGATTGTGGTTTCCTTGAGTGGAGATCTCACGAGGTGGAAGAAGATGTTGAAGAAATCAAGTTATTGCTGTAGAAATTAAAGGTTTTGGAGAGAGAAATTGTTGAGAAAGAGAGGATTTGTTAGCGAGAAATGTATGTTGAGAAATACGAGTGATTCCCACAGGTTTATCATTTACTTTATTTTGGGAATTGTTCTTGGTTTTGTGCTTGGAAAGATGAGATAATAGAAAATTTGTATAATATAGAAACTCTTCATCAACGGAAGACATCGTTGGGATTTTGTAAAAACTAAACTTTTGCTAATTGTAATTTTATTACCACATGATCTATGAATGTGTTAGGCACAAAACCCCCCTTTGCCTTCCTTTTTTTTTTAGGAAACCCCCATTATCTTTCATTTTGTGATAGAAAATTCCCATCAACTTTCAATTTGTCACAAAAACCCCACCTAACTTCCTTATATTGGCAAAAAAAAAAAAAAAAAACCCAATGAGATTAAATTTTTTTAGAGATAGCCCCTATGCAATGGCTATTAAATTCCTGTTGCAGATATATTGAAATTTATAAAAGGCATATCAGAGAAAAACATGATATTGACAAATAAATTTATCACAAAATATAACATTACTTCATACAAAAGCCAATCCCAAGGTTCAAACAGATAATATCTAATAAACATCATAATGTAGTCATTGTAGCATACATGTAATTGTGAACCATATCGTAAAGATGCGAAAAGAGTAGCAAATTAAGACACGTTTGCAATCTCAGTCAACATCTCAAAATATATAACAAAATGGCGTAAACTCCTCTTGCTCTCTACTTCCTCCCAAAATGTGGCACAAAAGATTGTCAACTCCACTAGCTCTCTACTTGCTACCAATCTGAGATTGTTGCGAAGGTTTGCATTGATCTTTTTGCGAAGGTTTGCATTGATCTTTTTGTCTCCTTCCTCAACTGGTCCCTATTGAGAAACACACAACCCTATAACACACGTTCACAATATTAAAAGGGATGATCCCATTTTCGATTTAGCTCCTTCCATTTAGCTAGCAGGCACTATCCTCACTTTTTTGGTGGATGTTAGTTGAAATAGAAACCCTTACTTTATTACTCCATAAGATGGGCTTATATAGGCCTTTACTACACAACTTACAAATAACACCCTATCTATTACTAATATGTCAACACTCCTCCTCAAGATGGGCGAAAGATATCCACTAAGCCCATCTTGTCACATCCTCTAATCATATCTACTGAGCTAAGTCCCTTAGTCAGACAATCTGCTGTCTGATCCTTAGTTGGAACATGACTTAACTCCAGTAGTCCACTGTCCAACTTCTCTTTGATGAAGAACCTATCGATCTCGATGTGTTTGGTTCTATCATGCTGCACTGGGTTATTAGCGACACTGATGGCTGACTTGTTATCACACCACAGCTTCATCTTTGCTCCTTGATCCAGTTTCAGCTCCACCAACATACTCTTCAACCACAACAATTCTGCGACTCCCAAGGCCATAGCTCTATACTCTGCTTCAGCTGTTGACCTCGCCACCACTGACTGTTTCTTGCTCTTCCACGAGACCAAGTTGCCTCCTATAAAGATACAGTATCCTGAGGTGGACCTCCTGTCATCAGCACAACTAGCCCAATCTGAGTCACAATAACCCTCGATGCTCACATGTCCATTCTTTCTGAATATCAGTCCCTTTCCGGGGGCACTCTTCAAATATCTCAGAATCTGGTACACAGCGTCCATATGATCCTTCCTCGGATCGTGCATGTAGCGACTCACCACGCTCACTGCAAAAGAGATATCAGGACGTGTGTGACTCAAGTAGATTAACCTTCCCACCAGCCTCTGGTATCTGTCACGATCAACTGGTTCTCCAGCCTCAGCACCTAGCTTGAACTTCTGGTCGATCGGTGTAGTTGCAGGTTTGCACCCTAACATCCCTGTCTCTTTGAGAAGATCCAGTGCATACTTTCTCTGGGATAGGACGATTCCCTCCGCTCCTCGAGCTATCTCTATTCCAAGAAAGTATCGAAGCAAGCCAAGATCTTTCACCTCGAATTCCTTACCCAGTCTCACTTTGAGTTGGGCAATCTCCTTCTCATCATCCCCTGTAATAATCATATCATCCACATATAGTGGCCTCCACTTCGTCAAAAGAACACGGTATGATCGGCGTTGATCTGCTGGTACCCCATACCAATCATAGCCCTTCTGAATCTGTCAAACCAAGCACGAGGAGACTGCTTCAGCCCATAGAGAGACTTCTTCAATCTAAGACCTTTCCCACTGTCTGATCTGTACCGAATCCTGGTGGTATCTCCATGTATACCTCCTCCACTAGATCTCCATGAAGAAATGTATTCTTCACATCTAGTTGGTGTAACTTCCATTCACCATTTACTGCCAGAGAGATTAAGGTCGGAACAGTGCTCATCTTCGCCACTGGTGCAAAAGTCTCATCATAATCGATGCCATATGTCTGACTATACCCTTTTGCCACCAGACGAGCCTTGTAGCGCTCAACTTGTCCATCTGGATTCTGCTTCACAGTGAAGACCCACTTGCACCCAACTGCTCTCTTCCCTTCTGGTAATTTTACTAGCTCCCAAGTGCGGTTCTTCTCAAGAGCTCCTAGCTCCTCATGCATAGCTGCTTTCCACTTTGGGTCCTTCTTAGCAACCTGCCAATTGTTAGGTACAGTAACAGAATCCAATGATACAATGAATGCTCTATGTGCAGGGTGGATATTAGAATATGATATAAACTGGGCAAGATCCCAACCATATCTATCGGGAGGATGTCCCGCATTGCTGCGAGTAGTCCTCCGTACTGACATTGGTGTGGGAGGAGTAATGAGAGGATTGATATCACCTTGGGAGGAATCTGATGGTGGTGTAGGTGTCTCAGGAGTCGGGACAGACGTTGATAAGGGACTTGGCACTAGTGGCACTGTAGGTACTGTTTCCGCAAGTTGCTTCCCCTTCCTACTATAGGTAAGTAGCTCCCCCTGAGCCGTGGGCCTAACACCTCTTGTCTCCTTATCTTCTTCTTCTTTATTCTCCTGCTCCTCCTCAACCAGTTCTCCTTCCCAAGGAATCGTTAGAGAAATCGATTTCTCTATATTATTCTCTACATTATTCATCTGCCTCTCACCATTCTCCCCTTCTCGCCTCATACTTCCAGTATTGGGCGAGTCACCAACGGATGAGGGTACCTTCTGTGTGTAATATGGCTCAAATTCACGAAAGTACACATCCATACTTACGAACAACCTTTTCTCCACCGGGCTCCAGCAAACATATCCCTTTTGAGTAGCAGAATATCCCATAAAAATACACTTCACCGCTCTAGGGGCAAGCTTCCCGACGGATGGTCTGTTATCCTTCACAAAACACACACAGCCAAATACCTTCAGTGGAAGAATCCCACCATTATCTCCTTTCAATGTCTCACACGGAGACTTCCAATCCAGTACTCTCGAGGGCATTCTGTTGATCAGCGCCGCTGCAGTCAACACTGCTTGCCCCCACAATGTTTCTGGGACATTCATGGAGATCATCATACTTCTAGCAACCTCTAAAAGATGTCTGTTCTTCCTTTCCGCTACCCCATTCTGAGCTGGTGTGTATGGACACGTAGTCTGGTGTTGTATTCCATGAGATGACAAGTATTCTCCAAACACTTTGTTGGTGTACTCTGTCCCATTATCAGATCTCAATACCTTCACCACTGCTCCATATTGGGTCTGAACATTCCTATGAAAGTTTTGAAAGCAGCCAAACACTTCACTCTTATTCTTCATCAGGTATAACCAAGTAACACGAGAGAAGCAATCAATGAATGTAACAAAATACTTGTATCCGTTCATAGAACTTGTGGAATAAGGCCCCCAAACATCTGAATGTATCAGATCAAATGCATGAGAACTTCTATGATCAGAACTAACATAAAAGCTTCTAGTAAGCTTTCCCAACTTACATGCATCACACACAAGTTTCTCTTTATTTGCTTTCTCAAATAAAGATGGATACAACCTACTTAAAGTACCAAAGGATGAGTGTCCCAAGCGCTGGTGATGAAGCATCAATTCACTCTCGGCACTCATTTCAGATCCTACTCCTGCTTTCTCTACCATTGACACCAAAGCTGAGTCCAGTCCCTCACGATCCAAGTACCACAGTCCATTACTCCACGTGCCAGTCCCAAGTCTCCGTCCTGTCCCTTTCTCCTGGAAGATC